GCATAGTTTAATTGATTCAAGCAGCTTGTTAGTATGTGGCAACTCTTTTTGGCTTCTTCAGAATGGCTGGTGGCAGCTTGTAAACATAAACTGTGGCAATGCATAAAGTATCTTTCACTCATAACTTCTGGTTGATCTTTACCACTGAATGATGACATCATTATCTTCATTACTCTATTTCCATCATCATACTGCCATCATCATAATGTCCTTTGGTTCTGAAACACTACAAATAGTGATGCTCATTAAGTTAGCCATTAGCAGAGAGCTGGATCAGAAGTGAAACAACCAGGACCTGAACTGGTGCCCACTTGGGATGCCAGAGTTGCAGGCAGAGAAAGAGACAGAGAGGTCTTCCTTTACCATTGGTTCACTCTACAATGGCCGCTGCGGCTAGTGCGCTGCGGGCGGCGCACCGCGCTGATCCGAAGGCAGGAGCCAGGTGCTTTTCCTGGTCTCCCATGTGGGTGCAGCACTTGGGCCATCCTCCACTGCCCTCCCGGGCCACAGCAGAGAGCTGGCCTGGAAGAGGGGCAACTGGAACAGAATCCGGCACCCCGACTAGGACTAGAACCCAGGGTGCCGGTGCCGCAGGCGGAGGATTAGCCTAGTGAGCCGCGGTGCCGGCCTCCAACATTCACTTTTTAAACAAAGATTTATTTGTTTATTTGAAATGCAGACTGGCGAAGAAGAAGAAAGAAGAAAGAAGAAAGAAGAAAGAAGAAGAAGAAAAAGAGAGAGAGAGAGAGAGAGAGAGAATGAATCATCTATTGGTTCACTCCCGAAATGACCGCAACAAAAGCAAGAAGCTTGGAACTCCATCTTGGTCTCCCATGTTGTAGTAGGGGCCCAAGCACTTGGGACATCTTCTGCTTTCTCAGGCACATTAACAGGGAACTGGATCAGAAGTAGGAGTAGCCAAGACTTTAACCAGGGCTCTGATATGGAACACCAGCATCGCAAAAGCAGCAGTTTGACATACTGTGTCACAACCCCAGCCTCAAGTTAGCATTCACTTTCAGAAAGTGTTCTGGGAAAACAGATGTAGGGTGTAGGGGAGGAAGCAAGCCAACAGAACTAAACATGAGGGGGTTATGACTATTATTATTATTGCCAGGAAGTAAAACATGTCTACTTTAAACCCTACTAACTCAACACTGATTTAGTGTCAGAATTTTACAACTGGAAAGAAATTTACTGATCATTTGGTTTGTTCTTTTCTTTTTTGTAGCTATGGGAATTGAGACCCAGATAAATTTAAATAACTTGATCACCTAGCTGATATCAGAACAAAGTTCTATAATTTTCCCTCTCCAGGATTCATTTCTGTATCAATTGTCTTCATGAACTGTATATTGGAAGTCTACTGCTTAAGCCAAATATATTTGAACACACGAAACATGCTTATTTGAGGATTTACATTTAGCTTATTTGAACTCAACTATCCCAACTTTCTCTAAGGGTGTTATTAAAATATAGGATATTATGTAATACTGCTCTGTGATGCTTCAGAAATATATACTTATTCATATGTCCTTCCCAGAAAATCAAGTTCCATTGTCTATTTTTTTCAGATGTAAAAATACAAAGAGGCATGTGGATCAGGAGAAAATGAGTCAGAAATAAATCTTAAGCAGAAATTTCTGGTTCTTTGATCGGGGCTGGGATCTCAGAATCATGCTTCAATTACATTAGTGAGTTAAGCACATATTCCATTTTCTGTTCCAATAGGTATTGCTATACAGGATACAACTTCTAGAAATGCAACTTGCATTGTAATAATGTGTGCAATATAGGTATAATTCCAGGTGAACTATTCTATAATACAACACCAAGGACATTTTCCCCCCTGTTTTGGCATTGCCACCATTTTGGGATGCTTAATGTACACTTGTAGGAGACTTAACAGTGTCCCTGAGCTCCACTCACTCGATCAGAGTAGCATGACCCTCCCCTCAGCCCACGAAGTTGTAGTGACCAAAAATGTCTCCAGACATTACCAAATGTCCCTGGTGGGTGGGGTGGAGTGAGGAGGATCAGTGTTTTCTTTCCAAATAAAAGAAATATGAGGCCGGCGCCGCGGCTCACTAGGCTAATCCTCCGCCTAGCGGCGCCGGCACACCGGGTTCTAGTCCCGGTCGGGGCGCCGGATTCTGTCCCGGTTGTCCCTCTTCCAGGCCAGCTCTCTGCTGTGGCCAGGGAGTGCAGTGGAGGATGGCCCAGGTGCTTGGGCCCTGCACCCCATGGGAGACCAGGAAAAGCACCTGGCTCCTGGCTCCTGCCATCGGATCAGCGCGGTGCGCCGGCCGCAGCGCGCCGGCCGCGGCGGCCATTGGAGGGTGAACCAACGGCAAAGGAAGACCTTTCTCTCTGTCTCTCTCTCTCACTGTCCACTCTGCCTGTCAAAAAAAAAAAAAAAAAAAAATAAATAAATAAAAAAAAAAAAAAAAGAAATATGAACACATGAAAAGTGAGACTCAAAGAGGCATCTCTAAATTAGGTAAATGCAAACTTCATTTAAATATCCCTTCTAAGCTAGAGCTAAAGTGGATTCCTTACAATTGTTTTCAGAATTTGCATATTCTTGTTTCTTTTTACATTTAAAAGAATAATTTTGAGATAGGTATAACTTCACAATCAAGTTGTTTTTTTTTTTTTTTAAATCTTGGCAGCTAAGCTGATCTTTATCTGTGATGGTTCTAAAAATTTCTTTTATTTTTCTGATAAGGCAAACTTCTATTTTTTTTAAACAAAAGCAACCTATAAAATTTTAGAGCAAGTATTTTCATATCCAATCTGCAGACAGGAAAATGAAGTGATGTCTGGGCTCAGTGAAGTTTCTTGTCTACCAAATGCTTTCATTTCATCCAATGTAAGCATATTTTTAAAAATATCTGTTTTATATTGGGAGTGCCTTCATGAAAGGAAAAAGGGAAGGGAGGCAAGGAAAGAAGGTTGGGGAGTGTAAAGGGGAGAGAAGGGAGAGAAAACAATATTGGGAGAACCTGCAGGCTGGCATTGTGGTGCAGCGACTCCAGCATCCCATATCAGAATGCCAGTTTGAGTCTCAGCTGCCCTGCTTCCGATCCAGTTCCCTGCTAATGGGAAGGCAGAAGACGGCCCAAGGCCCCTGTCAACCATGTGGGTTACCAGGATGGAGTTCCTGGCCCCAGGCTTTGGCTTGGCCCACACCTTATTGTTGCAGCCATTTGGGGACTGAACAAGTAGATGAAGTTCTCTCTGTATCTCTACTCTTTCTCTGCCACTCTGCCTTTCAAATAAATAAATAAATCTCAAATCTGGGAAAACCTTAGTGGGACAATGAACAAAACCGGCACAGGACAGATGTAATCTATTTAAGTCATTATAACAACCCTTAAGATTCAGCACATCCATTGTCTTCCTCCATCACTGACTTGTCCTCCATTACTGTCCCCAAGTGCCTGTATTCTCTACATGCATATTTAAGGATTATGTTTTTTCTTCTTCCTCCATCCTTCAAACTTAACCACTCCTGATGTTGGTGTCAAAGTCTTAAGTCTTTCCAAGGGAAACAAACATAAGCATTTTTGCTGCTTCCAAATGGTTTATTGCTGAGACCAGGAAAGGGTCAGCAATTCATTGTCTATATTCTAATCCTTAAGGTAAATAGTTTCTAGAAGCACTTCAAGTTCCCCAACGCTTATCCTGCCAGCTAATGTTTCGACAGCTGATTGTCTGTCACCCAGAGCCCTCTCACCCAGAGTTCTATGAATGAATAGCCTTCCAAATCCTGCAGCAATCAACTTTGTACATTTTAAAAAATGAACAATGTTGGGAAGTCTGTTGGGGAACAGGTACTCATGGATGTGATATGAATAGTGTAGTCATCGTAATGCTTTTGGAGGCATTTAGAAATGCATTTCAAAACCCCTAAACACATGCATACAACTAGACAGATCCAGGTATTGAACCCTGTTGCACTTGAGTTTAAAGAAACAATTATAGATATACTTAAAGATGTCTGTCAAGAGGACACTTATGCAACTGGTGTTATAATAGTAGGACATTATGAAACAAAATGGTATTATGATTGGTTACATACATTATGGTTAATCCATAAAATGTCAGATAAATCAGGATATTAAAATATAAGCCTAGAAAAGTCTACAGGAATACACATAAAATGCCATTCTTAATGGGGTAGTGGGTTTTTACTTTCTTCTTTATACTGTTCTGGATGTGCCAAAATTGCTAAGAATGATTATTTACTATTTAATGATAAGAAAAGTTTTCTGAAGTAAATAATAAAAACAATATGAAATTGTTGTGGTTCATCACCTGGTAGATGTGGACTTTCCTCTACCTAGGTGGCGAGCTGTAGAATCAACTTTGCGCTTATTCTCAATGACACTATCACACCAACAACTTTCAGTTATTGAATATCTACAATGGGCAAAGTACTGTGCTATATTTATGTGAGCTATCTTCTTCATTCCTTAAAACCAACTCCAGGTGGTATCATTCCTTTTGCAGATGAGGAAACTCAGATTTTCTAAGTGATTTTAAGTAAACATGAGGTCTAGCAAGGATTTGAGCTCAATTAACAACAGCAAAGTCTGAATATTTGACCCTGACACTACATTGCTTCTCCTTGGCAGTTTCAAGCCTGAGCATATCTTCTTTGGATCATTTGAGGAAAGAAGTGTTTATGGAAAAATGATTTTAGTAGGATTCTTCTTATAATTCAAAAGTCTTTGTAATATAGACTGAACTTCACTTTGGTATCATATTTGCTCTATAATACCTGAAAACATGCCGTGATTAACTAATGTGATGCTTAACACAAGTTTAAAAACACAAAATGAGAAATGAAATTTGGGCATATTTTCTCAATGAGAATTTTTCTCATAAGGAATATACATAATACCTTCATTTATTCTTAGCCATATATTAGAATACACAGAAACTTGCAAAAACACTCACCAAAAAACATGAGTCTCCTTAATAAACATTGAACCTGGATGGGAAAACTCTGCTTTATTTGTCCCAAGAGGCAAAAAACTACTGCCAAGATTGAGTTCGAACAAAGAAGATAATTTACATTATTCATCTTTAATGAGGTTCCAAGTTCTTTTTTTTTTTTATTTGACTGCACCAGGGCACATACAAACTGCAAAGTAAAGAAATAACACACTCACACACTAACTTAACTGCATAAAGATCTCATTATTGTAACATTAACATATGGCTATTTTAATATTCTCGGTTTTGAAATGATAAAATTATAACTGTATTATGGAAGGAGAAGGAGTAAAAGCAATGGGAGAAGGATGAGGAGAAATAGTAGACAGAGGCGTAATTAAGTATTCCTTGCCACCAGTAGTGAACAATGAGTAAACACAAACCCTGGGTAGAATATAGACACTAATTCACATACAGGGACTTGATAATTAACTGATACAGACTCCCTACAGAATTCCTCTGCTATGACTCAGTTTTAACTTTTCCTGGATCTACGTTAATTGAAATCTCATCATGATCAATAGTGCCTTGGGTATTTTCTGGGAAAAAAAAAGTTCTTAATCTCAGTGTTTGACTGCCTGTGCAATACAAACAACTTCTTAGTATTCATCAGGCAACCTATACTTTAACAACAAAGATCTTTTGATACTAGGGTTTCTATTTTTTTATTAAACTTCTTCCAGTTCCTACTTAATCATTCTCTTAAAAGTTATTTTATACACATTTCTTAAACAACATATACTTTGTATAAAATATAAGAATTACCCTACATTCTTAAGATCAGATTCAGTGACAAAATGCACTATTGAATCCAATAAACATTTAATACTTGCTGCATATAAGTTGCATGTAAGAAACATAGGCTGCAATATTCTGTGATTCATGCAGTAAATATTTACAAAAATCAAGCAAACAACTAGACATCCTTCAGCTACTAAAATTAACCTTTTCAGTCACAACAGACTAATAGTAACAAAAATGAGAGCACAGACAGTTACATCAAAACCATGCTGGGTCGAGTTTGTCTTGGAAGAGTCTGGAAGGGCCATAGGAACAGCACTGGCAGCCATACAGTTTCCTATTTTCCTATGGGATTGAGACTATTCTTTCCTACATGGCTTTCCCTACATCACAGGCTCTTGCAGAAGAGGCATTTCAGGCTTCAAACAAAAATAACCAAACTTTAGTGAAAAAGCTGAAAAATGCCTTTCTTGAGTGTCTGATCCTGGAAACAGCTTGCTGTAGGTCCTTAAGGCAAATGCCAAGAGTCAAAGAAATTGTAGTGTACAGTCTCAGGCTGTAAAAATAAAATTACTGACCAAGGAATTACATTTCTGGATAAAAAGTCTTCACAATAAGGCCTATATGAATAAGATCAGCTTCTTGGTTTTTGAAGATAATATGAGTTTTACATCCTATGAACATTGTACATTTTTCCTATTGTAGAGACTTTTGGAGTAGATACATGTTCACAATGTTGCTTAAAACAAAAACAAACCAAAAAGACATACAGAGCATAGGGCATGGAAAAACTATTCAAATACCAAGCAGGTTTCAAGTTTGTTCTTGCTTGTTTGCTCTACTTTCATATTTTACTTTTATGGTTGGCATATGGAAAACCAAACTGGGAAATCATAATGTTGGAGTATTTTAAAGGCATGCTATCATATATATTAACGAGCTTATTTATACAATAGGACCTTTGCAGAAAATGCTCAGCTCGATGCCACATTCCAGTATAGCCTCCATTGGTCTCTTTTTCCAAATTGCCCAGATTTACAGGTTTCACAAATATCCCTGATGTCTTCCCAATGTGCTTGGCAATCATAAAATTCATGGCAATATCGTCACAGTTTTGAGTTTCATCTATCAAAGCATGGACAGCAGCAGGTTGCCTCTGAAAGAGTTCAAGATATTTGCTATTGAAGAACGAGGCTCCAATCAGCACCATAGAGTACTGGTCACCATTTCCAAGCCCTGGTGTTTGTAATTCCATACCTCCATAGCTATAGATACCTGATGAAGTAGAGACATGCTTTCTAGGAACAAATCCTACAATTTGATCAGGAAATTGCTGAAAAGAAAACAGAACAATTGAATTACACATTTCTTTAAAACATATATAGTGAAAAAGGCATTGTTACAAAGAAAAGAAAACTGGTTTGTCAATATTTCCTTATTCCTGGTTTCTACATCTTAGTTTCATCTAACTCCAGGCAACTTCTTAACTCTGTATTGTGATAAGTTTACAGGTCAGATTTCATTACATCCAAAAAAAATCTTCAAAACCAAATGTGCTAACCTCACAATTGTTCTCTAATTAAAATATTGTCTTAACAATTTCTAGTCACCAAAAATTCTAGTCTTTCAAAGTTTGCTGTAAGAAAAGTCTGTATGAATGCTATTTACTGTAGGAGAGAAGATATAATGTGATCATTTTGAAACTGTTTTAATCTCTTAGGATATACTACAATTATGGGTCTACATGTGTGATTTTACTGTTTTCCACATTGATTTTACTATTCTTGAAAGTCACTGTTGATTTTAAACAATATTTTATACCTTTTCAGTTTGGACATTTCCTTTTTAAGATATTAGATATACATAAATACAAATATAAATGATATATGTGTAAGAAATATGTCAGGATCTTTGAAGAAAGAATAGGTAGTAGCAAAATACTTGTTTTGGGGACAATGAATATAAATAAAAGAAAAATGATCAAACATTGCAGCATTAGAGAGAGGTAAGAATTTAGGATTGAGAAGTTTAGTTCACTTGGTAAATAATGTGAGTTTCATTCATTTATGGAACAGATACTGAACTAGGGACACAGACACAGACACAGACACATAGAAATTAGGTTGGATGAAATTCAACTTCAGGAAACTCATAATCTAGAGTTTGATACAGATACGTGAACAAGAATTACAGTACTGTGATAAAACTGTAAATGCAGTCAGGTAAATCTGATGGCAGCACTGAGGAGTGAATGACAACTGTGTTTCTGGGAGGCAAAGGGAAAGGTCAGCGGATAGAGGATAAAGGTTGGGAGGCTTTAAAGGAGCACCACTTATACATCTTGGAGAATGAAAGCCGTTTCACTGATGGCTAGCAGAGGAAAAGAGAAAGCACCGAAGTGGAGGCAGTGGGCAAGCCTAAAGGCACAGTGAATGTCTCCTCCAATCTCAACTGCCTGCAGTCCCCAAATCATCACACCTGCAGGGCACTGACATGACAGAGTTTAAGGAATCAAATTACCTTGGTCAACAGACTAAAGTTGTTCTCAGTATTTTTATGAATAAAACCTAAAAACATAGTTCTACATCTCTAATTGTGTCGATTACTTAGACTGTTCTCATTCACTATAGCCTTTGTATCCTTCTCTTCCCCTTACATTTTGGTAAATTATTATTATTATTATTATTATTATTATTTTGCTTTCAACAGAAATCCTACAGCTGAAGTATTATGAGAAAGTTTTGCCCAAGAAACCTTTATTTCCAGGGCTGGAAAAACCTGCTGATATAAAAAAAATTCAATTTGTTGAGCAGTATACAAGGTATGAAGTTAAAAACTGAAGTTTTTAGAATGCTGCTACCTGAAGACCACTTCGTCATTAATATCTAATGCTGTTACAGCCCAAGAAGTTACAATTATGCAAGTTAGGCCATTTATTGGGAAGCAGGTGTTAAGCTATTTGACAGGGTTACAGAGTATTTGTACATAGTTCTGAGTTCAGATAACTGTGCTGCAACTTGCAGAATCAGCTATGATTTGTACATATTCAGTAAGAGAGAGGTAATTTTATAGGATGGCAAGCAAGCAATCTATGTTTGCTTATCCAAGCTAAGGTTTAGGAAACAAACAAACAAAACAAAAATCTGCCACCATAATGATACGTGCAGATTAATACAGAAGACTTTTTAAACAATGGTATCAGAACTAGGATTAAATTTTGTGAAGGCAATAAGTGTTTTATTTCACAAAAAGTTGCATATACTATCAATATAGAAACAAATTTCTCATTTGAGACACAAGTCTTTGGCCTGTGGGAAACATCCCTACATTCCAGTGTGTCTTTGCTATCATTTGGATCATTTCTTCGTTATTCTCTTTAAGCTAGTTTTAGATCTTCTCTCCAATACATCAAAATATAAAATAAATAAACACAAAAGATACCATAACTTTCATGCTGACTCAGTTAAGCACAAGAAACCTGGATTAGTCTATAACAGCTTTATCTATCTTTTAGTTAAATACTGTCCACACTGTTTTTGGCAACCCCCACTTTAAACCATACTGTCCTGGTTAAGCACTACCTAAGACTTTAAATAGATGTTTTCATAAAGGAAATATTACCTGCCAAACTGAGAAGGCAAAAGTAAGATCCTGTGCGCTAATGAGTGTGTCATCATCTACCATTAACACTGCTGAAATGAAAGAAAAATTTTACATTGAACAGTTTAGAAATGAAAACAAAACTGGTAAGATACTTATCTATATAGATCATTCAAATGAAATATTTTCTGACCCCATTAGTATTAGTATTCTTGGAAAGATTTGTCCAGTAGATTCTTTTAAAATTGTAATTGATTGGGGCTGGCACTGTGGCATAGATTAAGTCTCCACCTGTGGCACCAGTATCCCATATGGATACTGGTTCGAGTACCGGTTGCTGCATTTCCAATCTAGCTCTCTGATAATGGCTTGGGAAAGCAGTGGAAAATGGCCCAAGTTCTTGGATCCCTGTGCCCATGTGGGAGACCTGGAAGGAGCTCCTGGCTCCTGGCTTTGGATCTGTCCAGCTCTGGTCACTGTGGCCATTTGGGGAGTGAACCAGCAGAGGGAACATCTCTCTCTCTCTTTGGTTTTCCCTCTCTCTGTCTGTAATTCTGCCTCTCAAAAAAATAAATCAATCTTTAAAAAAAATTGTAATTGATTTTCTAACTTCCTGAAGGGAAAATAATCATGTAGTTAATATCCATTATCCTAGAAATGAATGAACCACTAAATAAATAAATCTGGGGCAAGCATTGTGGCACAGTGGGTTAAGCTGCCGACTGTGATGCTGGCATCCCATTTGGGCACTTGTTCGATCCTGGCTGCTCCTCTTCCCTGCCTTCGTGCCTGGGAAAGTAGCAGAAGATGGGCCAAATCCTTGGGCCCCTGCATCTTCATGGGAGACCTGGATGGAGTTCCAGGTTCCTGGCTTCAACCTGGCCTAATCCCAGCCTGTGGGGCCATGTGGGAAATGAACCAGCAAATAGAAGATTTATTTCTCTCTCCCCGCCCCCCTTCTTTAATGCTACCTTCCAAATAAATAAAAATCTAAAAAAAAAAAAAAAATCCAGTGCTCTATTAGGCAAATTACAACTTCATGAAAATGCTACAAATGGGAGGAAAAGGGGAGTGGCAAGAATCTTAGGCTCTCCTTTAATGTAATAATATATAATTAAAGCCTTTCTTTTTCTAACAATATTAACCTCTTTGTTATTGTTGTAAGGTGGACGTGACTTCTTTCCCAAGAAACTGCTTTTTGGTATCTTAGAAACTACTCTTTAAGCTTTTTAAAGGGATTTCTTATCATTAACCTACCCCATTTCTCTCCACAGAGCTAAGACAAGAAGAATTCCAGAGACACACATGCCCACCCCAGCTCTGGTTGGCTGCAGCCCTTCTAGACTGAGAAACCAGCTGCATCTCACCATTGGTTTCCACTTCAGGGAAGACCTGGAGTCGATTTCTCATCCTGTTTGCTGTCTGAACTTTGAAGATCACAGGGACAGGGTGAGGCCCTAAAGAATTCCACAATTCATCTGGTCCCTTCTCCCCAACATTATTCCATACCACAATCACTTTATGCAGGTGTGGTATGGCCTGATAATGATTTAAAAGTCTTAATAAGAGATCCGTTCTGTTGTAGGTCTGCATTATGAGAGTGAAAGAATCCAGGGTGGACTTGCCCTGGGATTTTATTTCCCTACGTAAAGTGAGCATCTTGTCTTCTTTAATGTTGGGAAGTAAATTGGTCAAAGCCCCAGCTACCAGCAGTAACACAAGGATGACCACCAAAGAGAAACGAAGCACTCGAATCCCCATTACTCTCCCAGGAAGTTTGCAGATATGGCAACACCTAGAGTGGAAGAGGAAACAAAAGATAGAATGTCAGCATTCTTACTAGTCACTGAGCTTCTATTTACATTCTTACAAGGAGAAGAGAGACAATCTCATTTTAGTGGATTCAAATTCAGTTCTCTTTTCCTTTTTGATAAGGTGATTTGGCCTAAGAGATAAAAAGTAGAGTGTAACATTCCCTCCCTTTTGATGCTGCCTGTCTTGCAGTTGCAGGCAAAAGATCTTAATACTACCAAAGAAGAAGACTTAAGCAATGTAAAATTTGTCCTCATTTTATCAATAAACATCTGGAACTCAGATTATTTTTAAAATGTGATTAGTAATACATGAATTTTAGATGTGCATTTTGGTAGCAGACTTTTTGTACAAATTTATCATATGTAGAATATAATACATGAAAGCAGATAAAAATCATAGCAGCAGCAGCAAACCATTACAGTGACTTTATTACTTATCAGGCCCTGTACTATGTGGCCACATGCTGTCACATGTACTTAGTAATTCAACAAAGTAAACAAACAGTTACTGAGCACTGTGTGCCAGGTACTGTCCGAGGTTCTGCAAATATGGCAATAAGTAAGATAGACAAGGTGTTTGCTGTTAGTAGCAGAGGAGGTAGTAAGGAGAGACAGATAAAATAAACACACTGAACAGATAATTCACAGCACTAATTATGAAGAGAGTATGTTTACCAAGAGATGAAATCACAGTGATGTGATAAGCAAGAGCCAGATTATGTGGGGCCCTGACAGCCTAGATATAGAATATGGATTTTATTCTAAAATCCTTTAACAGTCCTGATCATGAGAGCAGTATGACACAATTTATCTTCTCTTATTCCCAGTTAACAGTTTGGATGCTTACAGAAATTAAATAACTTCCTCAAGATTACTAGGCAACCTAATTAATGGAGCTAGGATTTACATTCAAAAATTCTGCTCCTAGAGTCCAGACCATTCACCATTATGGACTGCAGAGGTGTACTGCCTGGATTCAAATTCTGACTAAAGTCAGGAGTGTACAAATCAGAAGGTTTTGTACTCAAGATATATTTTCTCCTAGCTTTTTCCCTATACCTGAAGGATCTTATAAAGATGGTCATGGGATAGTAGTGACCAAATAACTGTTAAGTGTGTCCATGATACTCACTTGTCAAAAATTATAAACCAAACCTCTCAATTATATATGTTAAAAAAGGTTAAATCTCAGTTTTATAAAACTAGCTTCCATGTAATTTTATTTTCTATGCTTGTAGCCTCTTACTGTAGCACTGTTTCCTTCCATTACTTCTGTTTTTTATTCTTTTGCTATCTCTGCTCTCAGTCTAAAGTGCTTCCTCCTCCAAATGCTTTTTAGGTATATCCTTATTTTGTATTTTTAGCACTAAGTTTTCATGCCCATTTTAGCATCTTGGGATCTATTCTGCTACTTTATTAAAGTACAAAAGCCAGAAGTTAGGAAAAAGATTGCTCATTTATTTATGAAAAGACTGGAAACAAAAATCAACCAGGAGTTTAAATGCCTTTTAAAATACCTTTAAGAGGGTCAATGCTGTAGCATAGCAGGTAAATCTGCCACTTGTGGCACCAGCATCCCATATGGGCACTGGTTTGAATCTGGGCTGTTTTACCCTCAATGCAGCTCCCTGCTAATAGCCTGGGAAAGAAGCAAAAGATGGCCCAAGTGCTTGGGCCCCTGCACCCACATGGGAGACCCAGAAGAGGCTCTTCACTCTGGGTCAGCACAGTTCTGGCCGTTGCAGCCATTTGGGGAGAGAACCAGTGGATGGGAGATCTCTTTCTTTGTCTCTCCCTCCTCCTCTCTCTCTGTAACTCTGCCTTTCAAATAAATAAATCTTAAAAAATACTTTAAAAAAAAAGTAGAACTCTCAGAATCAAAAAGAATTAGATGTATGAGATATTATCCTTGATGATGTAATTGATCCATGCCTATGGATTTTAGTCTATTACTTTTTATTCTTTTTGATAAAATTTCTCTTCTTAGGCTACACAATAGATAAATACACTTATCTACTGCTTAATACAGACAACTGAAATAAAGCCAGAAGATTTCTCACTGCAAACTCATGGGTAGGGTATGCTGTCCTCAGTTTAACACTGCGTTTTAATTTTACATTGTATTTTTGGTTCTCACCACCTTCTTGAAAAAGTGCATTTTGTGTACATATTCACATCTGTGGTTGAAGTTAGACATCATTCCATAGGCAATCCTAAGACTGTAGTCTAAATTGTCCTAATAAAATACTGTATTTCAAACTAGAGCTCATTTTACTTTCAAATGATGTCCAATCAATCTTCCATTTTTTCATGGAGATTTTGCAGTAGGTGGTTTAATGACCGTTATATTCTGGTGATCTTGTTTAATGTGGTGAGGTGTGTTACATAATTATAGAATGCTTTCTCTCTGTCTAGTTCAAGGACATTAAGAGACCACATAGACCTTGAGTTTAGCGTTTTCCTTTGAAGGGTATGAGACGGAAGAATTCTGAGAGGGACAGTGCCATACACTCTGTGATGTGACCGTGTATTGAGGCACAAAGAAGCAAGGAGCTTATCCACAAGGACAAGGGAATGGTCACTGTCATTGAGCAGTTCTCCATTTCAACAATCCAAATTAGATAAGCAATTTTTCCTTTATAGCAAACTTTCTGGGGAGTTTTCAAGGATATTCTCTACTGGACTTTCTCTGCAGCTTATTCTATGAAGAAAAGCAATTTTGTGGTTCTCCTGTCATGCTTTCAATGGAAGATACGAATAAAGTGAATTATTTTTGAAATAACCTCAGATTTACCATGATTATGTTTCAAGGGCAGTAATTTAAGGCTTTTGGGAACAATGGTTTCATTTTATGTACCTGTTACTAAGACAACACAAAATGTTAATATGTATAGTCAGCCAAAGGCAAGCCATCATGAGCTTTGATCAAAGGACTTGAAAATTCCTTTAATATTGAATCAAAGACAGGTCCTAGCAAACACATTTTCAGTTCTGTATAAAAATGGCCACTTATGTGCACTCAGAGTAAAGAATCATTTTGACAACTGCATTAAAGCTTACCACGATTAAGATATTTATATTCACTTTTCTGCAGCTGAGTAGGCATAGTATATTGGAAAACTTCCACAGAAGGATTTCTAGTCTCTAAAGTAGAAACTAATAATATTGTGTGTTGCAGTCTTAAAAAAGCAATGAAGACTAACTGAGCACCAAAAAGGAAACCTGTTAAAGTGAAATGAACACTATGAGAAACAGTGACTTGATCAGCCCTCACCCTGACTGTTGATGAGCAGCTTAATATGTTATCCCTCTCAGTATTTTTTGTTTGTTTGTTTGTTCTACTTAATACTTTTGGTTGAATACTGTAATCAATACACAATTCTTCTTAAGTGCTGAAACTTAACTGAAAAGTGATTGCTGTTAAATATAAGAGTGGGAATAAGAGAGGGAAGAGATGTGCAATTCGGGACATGCTCAAGCTGACTTACCTCAAACGGTAGAGTTAGAAACATACCAGAGGATTCCAATTCAATCCCATCGAGGTGGCATGTACCAATGCCATCTCACTAGTCCCAGTAATCAATTTCTGTTCACAATTGATCATAATGATAGGACTAAGAGCCAAAGGGATCACATAAACAAGAACAGTGTCTGCTAATACTAGCTGATAGAATAAAAAAGGGAGAGAACGATCCAACATGGGAAGTGAGATACACAGCAGACTCATAGAATGGCAGATGTCCTAAATAGCACTCTGGCCTCAGAATCAGCCCTTAAGGCATGCAGATCTGGCTGAAAAGCCCATGAGAGTATTTCAGGCGTGGAAAGCCAAGACACTCTGGGGAAAAAAAAAAAAAAAAACCTAAATGAAAGATCTCTGCGAGTGAGATCCCAGTGGAAAGAATGGGGCCATCAAAGAAGGAGATACCTTTCTCTGAAGGGAGGAGAGAACTTCCACTTTGACCATGGCCTTGTCTAAATATGATCAGAGTCAGTGAACTCAGGGGGCTTCCATAGCCTTGGCAGCTCATGACAAGAGCCTAGGGTGATTACTGATGCCATAAACAAGAGTGTCAATTTGTTAAGTCAACAACAGGAGTCACTGTGCACTTACTCCTCATGTAGGATCTTTGTCTTTAGTGTGCTGTACATTGAGATTTAATGCTATAACTAGTACTCAAACAGTATTTTTCACTTTATGTTTCTGTGTGGCAGCAAACTATTGAAATCTTTACTTAATGTATGCTAAACCGATCTTCTGTATATAAAGAGAATTGAAAATGAATCTTGATATGAATGGAAGGGGAGAGGGAGTGGGAAAGGGGAGGGTTGTGGGTGGGAGGGACGTTATGGGGGGGAAGCCATTGTAATCCATAAGCTGTACATTGGAAATTTATATTCATTAAATACAAGTTTGAAAGCAAAAAAAAAAAAAGCAATGAAGAATATACTATAATTTACTATAAATAGATACTATAGAAGACTCTCATGAGTGTCTTTTCACTGTTACCTGCACTTTTGGTAAGAGTTTATCTCTGTAATCATTATAGAAATTCCCTCTTCAAGATACATTTTAATCCCCTATTTTACCTGTATCAGAAAGGTCTTAGGGGATCTACATAACTTAATGCTTTAGAAAAATAGTATAAATATTTCATGTGGTATTTATTAAGTAATGCAGCTCAATAAAATTACATAAATCCTTTCTTTAGTTTATATGGCAAAGTATGAGAGCAAGGGCATATCAGACTACAGGGCAAGTAGTTAACTATACTTTGAGAATAGCTGAATTCTAGAATTCTAGAACTCTAGGTCCAACAGAATCAATTTCAGTATAGTGCAAAAGTAAGGATGACTTCATGACTATAGGGATTTCAGAGTTTCTGGCTTTCTTCTGCTGTTTAATTTACAGCTTTGAACTCTGATTAGATGATATGAGAAAGAACACTTGTGGATGATCTATGTCTCATTTGAAAGGAAC